CCAAAACTTTAAGGTAAGTTTCAAGACTATAACGCTGAGTGACACTCTTCCCAATTCTATCCTGAGCATGTATCCGGGGTGTATCTTGGTAGATTTAGATATCTTCGCATAAATGAGTCCTGAATTTGATCAACAATTAATGAATGCTCATTTGCCCAAACAGGTGCCGCGTATAGCAGGGTTGATAGAACCATCGCGTCAAGAAGTTTCATAGAGGATTTAAAAGAGTTCATCTTCGACCTGGTCAGAATAGGCCTGACCGCACCACTGGCAGCGAGAGCTTTACCCTTATACGGAGGGTGTTTCCTTTCAAATGAAACGATTTCAAACGTCCGTTAGAACTTTATTTTTCGAACGTGAATTTTTTTCATGTGTTCTATGTGCTTCCCCTTCTTCTTGGCTATCTCCCTGCATCGGACTTTCCAAGCTGCGAACACTTCCTTGACTTTGGAGAGCGAAACATTCGACCACTCCTCTTGTGCGGCTTTCCAAAGAAGGAAACAGTTATAGCGTCATAGAGAAAAAGCTAAAAGCAGAAGGACTAGATGTTGGCAAAGCTACAATATGTAGGGTAGTAAATGGCATCGGAAAGAAAAGGGAAGCTGAATCCAATGGGCAAAAATTTCAAGTCGATCGACCACGTCCGGTGCGGACCCCCGCCACGGTTTCCAAGGTAAAGCGGCTAGCAACTACTGAAAATCCACCATCTCAGCGCCAACTTTCCAGAATGTGTGGAACATCGCTAAAAACGATAAATAACATCATTCACAAAGATTTGGAACTGGATACCCGACGAAAAGGCAAGGTTCACAAGCTCACCCCTTTCCACATGAAAACCGTGCAACGAATGCCCGGAAGCTCTACGAGGAACACCTGGCCGGTTCCAGATCGGAATATACTGCAACATTGGACGAAGCATGGATGTATGTGACGTATTGCAATGGAATCCGGAAGATCTGTTACATCAAAAGAGGCAATCAGGTCCCGGATAATTGGGTTCACCAATGCTCCGAAACTTTCCCTAAAGGTTTCATGGTTGTCGGGGTAATGACTGGCCGTGGAGTCCTTCCGCTCATAAAGGTTCCATCGAAGGTGAAGGTGAACTCAGAATTCTATATAGAATGCATTCTGAAACCTGTCATCGAACAACTGAAGGACCTTTACCCAGGGGAAATGGACAAAGTGTTCCTTCATCACGACAAAGCCTCTTCCCATACCTCCAACAAAACCCAACAGTTCCTACAAGAAATGAAGGACACCCTAGGCCTAAATTTTATCAGGAACTCGGACATTCCAGTGAAGTCTCCCGACGCCAGCCCACTGGATTTTTACGGGTTCGGTATGTTGAAGCAACGGCTCTTCAACCGACGTCCCAAAACTGAGGCCGGACTTTGGAAAGCCGCACAAGAGGAGTGGTCGAATGTTTCGCTCTCCAAAGTCAAGGAAGTGTTCGCAGCTTGGAAAGTCCGATGCAGGGAGATAGCCAAGAAGAAGGGGAAGCACATAGAACACATGAAAAAAATTCACGTTCGAAAAATAAAGTTCTAACGGACGTTTGAAATCGTTTCATTTGAAAGGAAACACCCTCTAGTATAATGCGGCTTGCTTGAAAGAGTTTGTTGAGGTGAGTGGATATCCCAGATACATGTATCTTTCCGTGACATTCAGTGTTTGATGTCCCCAATACCAATTATCGGATTTTGAGCGCTTCCCACCATTGCGAAATACCATTATTTTTGATTTGTTTTCGTTCAGCGTTAGCAGATTTTCCTCAAAATATTTTCGTATCATATTAATTTTTAACTGCAAATTGTTCTTAGATTCGCCTATCAGTACAATATCATCTGCATATAGTAACAAATAGATATTTCCATGCTTTGGCAGATAAATACCAGGTATATCCGAGCAGTCAAAAGTACTAATCAGGTCGTTAGTAAAAAGTATGAATAAGTAAGGAGATAGTGGCTTACCCTGTAACACTCCGGATTTTATTTTGATAAATTCAGTGAATGCCCTCTTTCTCTTTCTTGTTTTTTTTCTTTTTCTTCTGTATATATCGTTATTTCCTTTGTCTCACTGCTTTGTTCTTATGCATACCTCTGGTGAATCCTGTATAGGGTCAGTGACCCTGAATAAAGGCTTTTTGTTGTTGTTGTTGTTGTAAATTCAGTGAATGAATTGTTCCATCTCACCGCAGCTGTCATGTTTTCGTAGTAATTCTTAATTAGATTTATAAATCGAAAATTCAATCCAATGTCTAGCAGTTTTTTCCATAGGAGAGCTTGAGGCACCGTATCAAAAGCCTTTTTAAGATCGATAAAGAAAGCGTAGAACTTTCGTCTTTTACGTCTAAGTGTTAATTGGATTAGTTAGACTAAAGTAAAAATATGATCCTGGCATGGAGATATTCTTTTCTGAAACCCGCTTGATTTTCCGGTATAATTGCTCTATTTTCGGTCCAGTTGCTTAGCCGTATTTTCAGTATTGACGAGAAAAGCTTAGCGAGGTTGCTTAGAAGTGCTATTCCCCGATAATTGTGAGGATTGTCGGCATCACCATTTTTAAAGATGGGATGTATAATTGTTTTGCACCAAGTTGTTGGGATTTGACCAGTTTTTAGAACTCTATTGTAAATATCCTTTAAGGCAGTCAAATAAGCTGGGGGCAAGGCTTTTATAGCTTCATTAGGAATATTATCCAGTCAACAAGCCTTATTGCGCTTCAAGTGAGCGATTTCTCCAGTTATCTCCGACAAGGATATTTCGGCCATTAACTCGTCGTCTGGCATCAGTATAACTCTTATGGACAAATCGTACTTGACTGGTGGCGAAGTCGCGAGAAGTTCGGTATAAAACTGTTGCCATTTTTGAATAGAAATGTTTCCGAGAGTTGTTCTTCTATTGTTAAACAGTGATATTGTTTCCCAAAAACCCGCAGAGTCCCTCACCTCCTTCAACCTCTCTTGTATTTTAATATATAGTAGGTTTTCTTTTTGCCGGTCAGAAGTGATGAGTATTTCTTTTTTAATAAAGCGCATGCCTTGCGGTCACCTTCACTGTTTGATCTTATGTAGATTTTAAGCTGAGATTTTAGAGTTTTTTTTTTTTTTTTGATAAGTAACACTCACGGTCGAACCAAGGTTTGGATATTTGTAAAATCATCATATATATTGCCTAGCTTGCTTGCTCGATATTCTTTAGCTGTAGATAGTTGGGTTGGTTGGTTGATAATTGTGTACTAGTTGTACTGATGTCATCAATAAATACTTTTACATCTTAAGATATTCCAAGACTCGAATTCTACGCTATGATATTTTTAGTTTAATTAATTAATTGTTTTCACAGAGTTTGTGTGTAAGATCACAAGTAAAATAGGCGCTAACCTGATAAAAAAAGTTCCTTTGTTCAATAAATTATAAGTTTCTCTTTTATTTTTTCTCTTGTAAATCAATAAATATAGTGTTTAAAAATTTGAAACTATTATAGACGCGTATGATTATTTTAAAAATTAAACAATTTCTACTGCCCTTACTGTAGATTGTTAGATTAAACTGGTGAAACCGCTGGGAGGGTTCACAACTGATGAGCCAGGCCCTCCCATTAATTTTTCCATTGTAGTAAGGGCAGTATAAATTGTTTAATTTTTTAAAAGAATCATACGCGTCTATAATAGTTTCGAATTTTCATAACAGATGGCGCGCTAATGCAATAAAATATAATGTTTGGTTAATCTTCTTGGAATCAGTGTCTTTAATAAGTCTAAGCAAAGTCAACACAAATAAGTCCATCAAAAGACTAATTTGCTTATTCAAAGATAGAAGCTAAGTCTGTGACTCCTTCCAGACTCAACTTTCATCATGTCGAAGCTCCATCTAGTCATATATTTTTGAAATGCATAGAGAATAAACAATATGCAAATTTTCCTGTAATCAGGTTAATTTGAATAGTAAGGTGCTGAAACTATGAAATCACCCCATCTAGATGTATTTTATATAGAGTTCAAGTTTCATTCAGGTAGGTCTTATATAGTGGTAATTTATTCTGGAATATGCAAATAAGCCTATATTTGGGTAAATTAACTTATTCCTAGGTATGTTTAGAAACTTTAACAATGCCTCCTTACAGAACAACTGGAGGAGGACTCTCTCAAGGTGGGGAAGTCTTCCTTGCTGAAGACATTTGTATACAACTATATATATATTCCCCTACACTTTATATGCCCTTTTACTCTTTTATTTTTCCACCTTTGTAAAATTTGATTGAAAGAATCAATAAAATTGTTTAAATTGTCCTTACAGAACAATGTCTTTGTGGTGCTAAAATTCATACAGATAAGTAAAATATGAAAACGTTATGCGAAGAAAAATATTTCACCAAACTTTTATTCTATATTATGTTTATTATTTGTATACTTGTTTGGTAGTCATTGGGATTCAGAATAATTTTTATCAGTTTTTAAATATCTACATTACACACACACAGCTACTCTCTTTTCTTCTCTACGTTTAGATTACTCGTGTATAGGAAATTTCTTCTCCTGGGATTTACCTAGACTAATCTATTAATGAGCTTGATTGTCTTAATTAAGTTTTCTTGTGTATAAATTCCAATATGGAAATATATTTATTTACGGGGCTACTAATCAAAATGGGTGATTTTTGAGCCCCATTGCGAGCCTGTCAGGATATGAACAATTTCGACTATTATAGGCTTGAACCCTTTCCTTCGCGAATTGGAGCGAAAAATTTCAATATTATCATTAAATGTGATTATCTTTTACTTTTTTATTCTTTTCATTTGCAGACTCTATCCATATATAAAGACTATCATACTTCATCCCTAAGGTTGGACATAATCGTTATTTCTCCTTAAAATAAAATTTAGATTTTTCGTTCAAAAGAAACATTTGCGGTATAATTTTCAAACTTCTCTCTACAATCATAAGCCACATTATATTATATTATAAATTAGTTTATATAATATTTACGAACGGAAAAATATGTCCATGGTAGCCTAGTGGACATGGCATCTGCCCAGTAAGCGGAACACTGTGGGTTCGTTTCCCATCCCTGGACACTTTATTTTTCCGTTTATCATTACTCTTCACAATTCATCCTTTTATACTTCATCCCTAAGGTTGAAAATAATCGTTATTTCACCTTGAAATAAATTTCGATTTTTCGTTGAAAAGAAACTCATGCTGGATAATTTTCAAATGTCGTTTTACAAGACTATATGACTTAAAGGGCTTTGATTGCTGTGTTTCAGTGACTCAGTGTCAGACCCACCCATCCTTTTCCCTGAGGAGGTTGACACGGAATCACTAAAATGTCGGAAATAAAGTAAAGAAGAATGACTGAGATGTGGCTATCCTTCCATACACTAACCAACAAACGACGTTAAGTTTTTTAATAAATATTTTCATTTTTAAAAGCGCTATTTTTATTTATAAATGCGCATTCACGCAAACAAGTTGAATATTTTTATTGATATACAGCATATTTATTTCAACACACAAAACGCGATATCCCTGCTAGGGATAATTGCGTTGATTTACATTTTTAAACAGAAACTACCCTGTATATTTATATTAAAATTGATTATTTTAAAAAGAATCATAAACGCGTCAAAATAGTACAAATTTCTTATACCAGATGACGCGCTAATGTATCATATCAATATATACGTTTTGTAATAGAAGCTATATATTATGCGCGATTTTCTTTGCTAATAAAACAAACTTCCAACTGTCTTTTTTTGTGAAGAAAAATATTGGAAGCGCCTGTGTGTGGCTCATTAATGGAGAAACCTACTGGCGATTTCAGCTTTATGTCGCTGCAAAATTTCATCTAGTTAGGACGAATAATAAGGAAACACATGCGGAGCAAACGGGATATGCAAATTAAACCATTATCGAACTAATTTGAATATTCAGGAATGAAAACTATAACTGTGATTCCTTCCAGACCAATCTCTATATCGCGGCAAAGTTTCATTCCGTTAGGTCGAATAATAAGGAAACATATGCTGAGCAAATGGAATATGCAAATTAAACCATTATCAAACTAATTTGCATATTCAGGAATGAAAACTATGACAGTGATTCCTTCCAGACCAATCTCTATATCGCGGCAAAGTTTCATTCCGTTAGGTCGAATAATAAGGAAACATATGCTGAGCAAATGGAATATGCAAATTAAACCATTATCAAACTAATTTGCATATTCAGGAATGAAAACTATGACAGTGATTCCTTCCAGACCAATCTCTAAATCGCGGCAAAGTTTCATTCAGGTAGGTCGAATAATAAGGAAACATATGCGGAGCAAACGGGATATGCAAATTAAACCATTATCGAACTAATTTGAATATTCAGGAATGAAAACTATGACTGTGATTCCTTCCAGACCAATCTCTATATCGCGGCAAAGTTTCATTCCGTTAGGTCGAATAATAAGGAAACATATGCTGAGCAAATGGAATATGCAAATTAAACCATTATCAAACTAATTTGAATAATCAAGTGTGGAAACTATGATAGTGGTTTCTTCCAGACCAATCTCTAAATCGCGGCAAAGTTTCATTCAGGTAGGTCGAATAATAAGGAAACATATGCGGAGCAAACGGGATATGCAAATTAAACCATTATCGAACTAATTTGAATAATCAAGTGTGGAAACTATGATAGTGGTTTCTTCCAGACCAATCTCTAAATCGCGGCAAAGTTTCATTCAGGTAGGTCGAATAATAAGGAAACATATGCGGAGCAAACGGGATATGCAAATTAAACCATTATCGAACTAATTTGAATAATCAAGTGTGGAAACTATAACAGTGATTCCTTC